CGCTGGTTTGCCGCGTATTAATGCATTTTAAAGCATTTTTCAGCATTAGAGCATTTTTCCAGCTAAAAAATCCCTCTAGAAACCCACTAGTTTTGGGGTTTTTTTTCCAGCTGAAAAACATCCCAGCCAAAAATGTTGATGACAATCTATGTGTGTATGGACACATAGGATAACATGCCGGGGATGGACACATAGGATAACATGCCGGGGATGGACACATAGGATAACATGCCGGGGATGGACACATAGGATAACATGCCGGGGATGGACACATAGGATAACATGCCGGGGATGGACACATAGGATAACATGCTGGGGGGTTTACTAGCTGTAGAAAAAAACGCCAATAGCCAAAAACAGCCGCTGTAAAAATGTCAAGTGTGCATGAGGACTAAATGTTATGGCTGATCGGTGTATGTTCAGAGCAGGAACAGGTAGGGATCAGGGGCGGACTGACCATTTGGAAACTCGGGCACTGCCCGAGGGCCTGGGGTCAGTAGGGGGCCCCATGAGATGCCCCTGGTACCTTTTTCATAGGCTTTTTTGAGTTTGGGCAACGACACAGGGGCCCCATGATCCCCTATTGCCCGGGGGCCCATGAGTTGTCAGTCCGCCCCTGGTAGGGATCTTCAACAAGTTTGTTAAAATCCCTGCTATATACATTGATCATTCAGAGACGATTGTTTTTTTTTTTTTTTTTTTTCAACAAAAGTGGAGTTATGCAGGCCATAAATGGGTCGAAAATCGGCTGATTTTTCGGCCAAAAATAAAATCGGCTGATTTTCGGATCGTTAGTGGGTTAATTGTTCGGCCGTTTTTCGGTATTTTGGCAGATTTTTTTTATCGGTAAAGTTGGAAAAAGATCGGCCGATTTTCGCAGCAATGATGGGCAAATCGGCCTATCTTTTTACCGATAAAAAATCTGCGCAAGAGGAAGGCAAAAAGACAAAGACGAAGAAGACGAAGAAAAAAGACGAACACGAAGAAAAAAGACGAAGAAAAAAGAAGATGAAGAAGAGGATGAAGACGAAGAAGAGGATGAAGAAGAGGATGAAGAAGAAGAGGATGAAGAAGAGGATGAAGAAGAGGATGAAGAAGAGGAAGAAGAAGAGGAAGAAGAAGAAAAAGAGGATGAAGAAGAAAAAGAAGAATTCCAGTCCAGCAAAAAGTGTCCCTGCAGAGAGCTCCGCTATTTCTTTGACAGTTCTTTGACATTTATAGCGGTTGCAACATTGTATCTATTTGTTTCCGAATAAAAACATCTGTATCCTAAATGGATACAAATAGATACATTGTTGCAACCACTATAAATGTCAAAGAACTGTCAAAGAAATAGTGGAGCTCTCTGCAGGGACACTTTTTGCCGGCTGTAGACGGAATGAAAATCGGCCGATTTTTTTTTTTTTTTACCGTTCCTGGTAACGTCGGCCGCTTGAACGACCGATTTTTTCGGTTTTTTAAAGAAAAATTGGCCGGTTTTCTCCCCATCTATGGCCTGCTTTACTTTTCACCACACATGATGCATGTCAAAGCTCATCGCCCATTGAAATAGCACAGAATAAACAAAATCAAAAAGAATTCGCTCAGACTTTTGCATTTGTACATGGCACAAATCCGGGAAAGGTGCCATATGACGTCGACATCCATTGTGAAGATAACATCAGTTTTCCTCCAGCCGAACGCCAAATATCGCTGAGGGCTGCGCAGAGGTAAACGACATTCATGTGCGAGGAAGAGCCGCCCCATTAATGAACTCACAGCAACAGAGATTGGGCTTACTCTTCATTCACTGAGTATGTTTAATGGAAGGGAACAGTTCATCCCACTTCTACAGCTGATGCCTATTAGGTAGATTGTTGCTTGCTGTTTCCTCTAACAATGTTTTACAAATTTGGATGCAGAAAGCATTTTATCCGACCTTCCTTAATGCTGAAAGAAAACAGAAGCAGCGGGGTGTCAGGAGATGCACGGTGAAGAGCAAGGAGGGGAAAGGTAGTCAGCACAGCGATGAGGGATGACAGACAATACTAACTGCTGTTTCCTTCTCTCTTTACCTCTCTCTCTAGAACAACCAAATACAGAGGAGCAGTCAAAATGGAAAATGAAGCCTTGAAATGTAGAAGACGTGCCACAGAGATCTCCTTATTGTCATGCAGGCATAGTCAGGGGTGGAATGACAACTCATGGGGCCCCCGGGCAATAAGGGATCATAGGGCCCCCGTGTCCTTGCCCACACCCAAAAAAACCTATAAAAAAGGTACCAGGGGCATCTCATGGGGCCCCCTACCGACCCCGGGCCCTCGGGCAGTGCCCGAGTGCTCAAATGGTCAGTCCGCCCTTGGTTAAAGTTCACCTAGTCACTAGAGTGTTTACTGTCTGGAGGGTCTGACCCAGTTAGTAAGCTAGTAAAGGGGTCCCTGAATGCCTTGCCAATTAATTTCAATATGGCGGATCGCGCTAGTTTCTCTTCTGTCCCTGCTTCCTTCCAGAGCCCAAGTCCCCTGTCCACCCTCAAGGAAATCCAGAGCGGACTGACAACTCATGGGGCCCCCAGGCAATAAGGGATCATGGGGGCCCTGTGTCCTTGCCCAAACTCAAAAAAGCCTATGAAAAAGGTACCAGGGGCATCTCATGGGGCCCCCTACTGACCCCGGGCCCTCGAGCAGTGCCCGATTGTTTACTATCTGGAGGGTCTGACCCAGTTAGTAAGCTAAAAAGGGGGTCCCTGAATGCCTTGCCAATTAATTTCAATATGGCAGATCGCGCTAGTTTCTCTTCTGTCCCTGCTTCCTTCCAGAGCCCAAGTCCCCTGTCCACCCTCAGGGAAATCCAGGGGCGGACTGACAACTCATGGGGCCCCCGGGCAATAGGGGATCATGGGGGCCCTGTGTCCTTGCCCAAACTCTAAAAAGTCTATGAAAAAGGTACCAGGGGCATCTCATGAAGCCCCCTACTGACCCCGGGCCCCTCGAGCAGTGCCTGAGTTTTTATTGTTTGGAGGGTCTGACCCAGTTAGTAAGCTAGTAAAGGGGTCCCTGAATGCCTTGCCATGTAATTTCAACATGGCGGAGCGCACTAGTTTCTCTCCTGTCCCTGCTTCCTTCCAGAGCCCAAGTCCCCTGTCCACCCTCAGGGCCATCTTAATAGCATCATGGGCCCCTTGGCAAAGTAATGCACTGGGGCCCCTACCAAGCTGGCAGCTGCTCTCAAGAATTAAAGTATAAGTGGTTGGTAGAATTAAATATATATTTATTAATACTTTCAATAAAATTGATCTTAACCTCTTGCCCTCCAGAGGATTCCCCCCCCCCCTTTCCCTTCCAGGCCACTTTTTTGCGATACGGCGCTGGGTTACTTTAACCTCCCTAGCGCTCTCATTATGTCCATATTTCTGTGCTCGAAGTGGTAAATTTTTTTCCATGGAAATATGTATTTTTTTTATTGTAGGCTGTAATTTTTAGGAATAACTCACTGAAATCTGTCTGAACAAGAGTCTAGTAAACATCCCGGGTAGGATAAAACTTCAAACACGAAATCATAAATTATAATATAATAAATAATCATAAATAATAATATAATAATAATAAATTTAATTCAATAATATAATCAAACCAAAAACACTGAAATTTGAAATATAGCGTCAAGTTCGCACATCACTGAGCAAAGTCGCAGAATCGTTTTCAGTGTCTGATGATGAATTTCCCCCACAAATCATTATCACTCAATTCTGCAAGTGGTTCTGATTTACTATCGCTGTTCTCTAGCCGGTCTAAAACCGCTTTTGACGTAAAGGGACGCTTTTTGGACGCCATGGACGTTTTTCAGTTTCCAGGTAGAAAGAACAGTAAAAATGCAGGCAGGGCGCCGGACAAAGCACTCGGGACAAAATGTATGTGAAATGGTTTGATACAGTAATGTTATACTATGAGATTTTAGTGAATTTAGTGAATGTCACTTTTAAAATTTTCAAATTTCCCGCCAGTTCTGTCCCCATACATCCCGACGTCCCAGGGAACGGAACCCAGAAGACAGATGCCGGCAGCGGCCGGACGACATTACAGGGGACACTGCAGGAGGGACATCGCGGGAGCGCAGGACAAGGTAAGTGAAGAAGAGATCCCGGAGCAGCGTTGCAGTGTATTCCCGAGTGTAGCTCGGGGTTACCGCTTGTGGTGCTGAAACTTTACCCCGAGCTACACTCGGGAATACCGCCAGGGAGGTTAATAGGATCATGGGCCCCTGGGCAAAGTAATGCACTGGGGCCCCTACCAACCTGGCCCGATGTATGCACCCACTCTCAAGAACTGGTTGGTGGAATCAAATATATATTTATTAATATTTTCAATAAAATTGATCTTAACCACTTGCCCTCCAGAGGATTCCCCCCCCCCCCATTCCTGACCAAGCCACTATTTTACGATACGGCGCTGGGTTACTTTAACTGACAATTGCGCGGTCATGCAACACTGCACCCAGCACAGTGGCTAAATGGTTAGCACTTCCACCTGGCAGTATTAGAATGTCATCAAATCTGTGTTCTTTTAAGGCATTTTTTTTATTTTGGAAACAGCCGAAAGTCACAAGGGGCTAAGTCAAGGGAATAATGTTTTTGGTCAAGTTTCAGAATAGATTTCTGGTCCAGGAACTCGAACACTTAACGCATCCTGTGCAGGAGAATTGTCATGGTGGAGAATCCACTTGTCATGCTAGAGTTTTGGTCTTTTTCCTCTGAACAGATTTAAAAAAAAATTATTTTCCACATTGGCATTCGTACTTTGCGTTTTTGGCTGCCCACTTCTTGCATCATCATGTACATCTTCCCGCCCCTCCTTAAATTGCCTGCGCCAGTCCAAAAACACTTGATTTCTTTTTGGAATGTTCACTATAAGTCTGTTGTAACAGAGCTAAAGTTTCACTCTCACTTGTGCCAATATTCAGATGGTTAATGACAGCAGACATGATACTAGAGATGGTCAGAGACCGCAGACATGACAGAGGAGATGGTCAGAGACTGCAGGCATGATACAGAAGATGGTCAAAGACTGCAGACGTGATACAGGAGATGGTCAAAGACTGCAGACGTGATACAGGAGATGGTCAAAGACTGCAGACGTGATACAGGAGATGGTCAAAGACTGCAGACATGATAGAAAATATGGTCAGACTGCGGACATGATACAGGAGATGGTCAGAGACTGCAGGCATGATACAAGAGATGATCAGAGACTGCAGACATGATACAGGAGATGGTCAGAGACTGCAGACATGATGCAAGTGATAGTCAGAGACTGCAGGCATTATACAAGAGATGGTCAGAGATTGTCAACATGATACAAAAGATGGTCAGAGATGGAAGATATGATGCAGGAGATGGTCAGAGACTGCAGACATGATACAAGAGATGGTCAGAGACTGCAAACATGATACAGGAGATGGTCAGAGACTGCGGATATAATACAGGAGATGGTCAGAGACTGTGGACATGATACAAGAGATTGTCAAAGACTGCAGACATGATACAAGAGATGGTCAGAGACTAGGCACATGATACAGGAGATGGTCAGAGACTATAGTCATAATACAAGAGCTGGGCAGAGACTGCAGATATGATGCAAGAAATGGTCAGAGACCGTAGACATGATACAGGAGATGGTCAGAGGTTGCAGACATAGTACAAGAGATAGTCAGAGACTGCAGACATGATACAAGGTATGGTCAGAAACTGCAAATATGATATAAGAGATGGTCAGATACTGCAGACATGATACAGGAGATGGTCAGAGACTGCAGACATAATACAAGGGATGGTCAGAGACTGCAGACATGATACAGGAGATGGTCAGAGACTGCAGACATGTTACAAGAGATGGTCAGAGACTGCAGACATGATACAGGAGATGGTCAGAGACTGCAAACATAATACAAGAAATGGTCATAGACTGCAGATATGATATAGAAGATGGTCAGAGACAAGCTATAGGAGTTGTTGAAGACTGGGCTCACATTACATAAGACTGCTATAAATCACAGCTACAACAGAGCAACGGGGAAGCACAGATTTGTGTCTGTAGGGGCCCCAGGGGATGCACAAAAAGTGTCAAAGGACTGCATGCGGTCCCCAGGCCCGGCACCAGATGCATAAATGGTCTTCTGAATGGGTCATGCTCGGTGATGGTACTGCCCACTGAACATGATAGGGGGGATAATTTTTGCAAAGCATCATGACAGGTGAACACCCCCATCTGCTGCCTTTTTAGCTTAAAGGGGCGTGATTGGGGGGTGCTCAAAACATGGCTCAATTGCATCTTTTTAAGACCCCCCCCCGGAAAAAAAAAACAACGGCAAGTCTAAATGAGCACTAATATGAAAAAATCTCTCTGATGCTGGCTGACATCACTTTTTTTTAAAGACGACAGAATTGGACTAGAGATTGTCTTACCAACATTCACCTAGAGTTCCCCTTTAGCTGTTCCCTGTCTGCTCGGCCCCAGTCCAGGTGGACAAGCCCCCTCCCCGGGCGAGGGACTGAACACCCCAGTGGCCAGACTCTGACAAGTGACATTCAGGGAATATTCTCTGTTAGGTTGTTATATTCAAACCATTGGTCACAGGAGTGCTGACATTTATCAGCTGCTTATAAAAGCAGATAAGAATCAGCGCTGACAACGCTCGGTAATTTGTTCAGACATTTGTCAGAGAGCTGCGCCGCTGCAGCTGACTCTTCCTGGATGAGCAGAATATCAGCTGAGGATTGGGATGGGGATGGGGGGGGTCATAAGGTGTATAAATCATATCCTGCAGGTCCTTTAATGGGAATCCATATTTTTATTAAATCTGACCTCCAGCCTTGCTTTCAGTCTTGCACAGTTGTACCGGCTCCTCTCCTGGTTTGAAACGGCTTACTCTGATGTTACTGCACACTGTGAGCTTCTCACGATGTGCATCAGAAGCTTCAGCAAGCCAGACCAAAGGCTGGAGGACTCCCAGCATCACTTAGTACTTTCCACCCAAGCCTTACAATCCCCGGCTCACCTCTTTCAATAAATTATTAATATTATTATACAGTATTTATATAGCGCCAACAGTGCGCTCAGCGCTGTACATTACAATGGGAGACCTGTGGCCATGGAGGTGATTGTAACACTGAATCCAATGATTTGAAGAGGTGTACCAATACTTTTGGCAATATAGTGTATTTCTAGCTCATACACTATATAGTTAAAGGTTTGTGGACACCTGACCATGTTACCTAGATGAGCTTTTTAGGCATCCCTTTCCAAATCATAGGCATGTTGCCACTTATCCCCTACATCTGGTGTGCAGCGTGGAGCAGCAGGAAGGTGAGAGGGGTCCAGTCCAGAGTGGAGCAGAAGGCACACATGGTGTGCAACATGGGAACGCTAAAGGTGAAGGTGAAGGTGAGCGGGGACTGGAGAGAAAGGACTGAGGGGCAAAGGATTAGCAGAGCTGGGAGACCACAGCAGGAGAAAGTAGCAATGTCACATGTGCTGCGGAGCATGGGAGCAATATAGCAGGAGGTGAGCTGAGACCAGGGAGAGAGGAGGAACAGCAAACCAGAGGATCAGCAGAGCAGGGAGATTAATACTGAGTAGGGGATCAGCAGAGCAGGGAGATTAGTACTGAGTAGGGGATCAGCAGAGCTGGGGGTTACTACTGAGCAGGGATCAGCAGAGCTGGGGGTTACTACTGAGCAGGGGATCAGCAGAGCTTGGGGTTACTACTGAGTAGGAGATCAGCAGAGCTAGGGGTTACTACTGAGCAGGGGATCAGCAGAGCTGGGGGTTACTACTGAGTAGGAGATCAGCAGAGCTAGGGGTTACTACTGAGCAGGGGATAAGCAGAGCTGGGGGTTACTACTGAGTGGGGCATCAGCAGAGCTGGGGGTTATTACTAAGTGGGGCATCAGCAGAGCTGGGTGTTACTATTGAGTAGGGGATCAGCAGAGCTGGAGGTTACTACTGAGTGGGGCATCAGCAGAGCTGGGGGTTACTACTGAGTAGGGGATCAGCAGAGCTGGGGGTTACTACTGAGTGGGGCATCAGCAGAGCTGGGGGTTATTACTAAGTGGGGCATCAGCAGAGTTGGGGGTTATTACTAAGTGGGGGGCATCAGCAGAGCTGGGTATACTACTGAGCAGGTGATCTGCTGAACAAGAGTACTAATAAGCTCTGTTGAATGGGGGTACCAATGAGCTGGGGATCTGCTAAACAGATTTACTAATGAGCTGGGGATCTGCTGACTGAGGGTTCTACTGAGCTGGTGTTCTACTGGGCCCTTTTAAAACAAATAGAAAATAAACACACAAAGGGCATTTGCCAAGCTTCACCGAAGCATCAAAAAAGCATGTTAAAGCGGTAGGCACTTTAAAGTGTTAATACAGGCAGATTTTTTTTTTCATTAAAATAACAAACATGTTATACTCACCTGCTCTGTGCAGCGGTATTGCACAGAGTGGCTCCAATCCTCTTCTTCTCAGGTCCCACACCGGCAATCCTTGCTCTTCCTCTTCTTTGTGTGTCCCCAACCTTTCCCCAACGCTTTCAACCTGTGTGTCTATGGAGCCACGCTCAGTGGGACTTAGTTCTGCCCCCCACCTTCCTTTTCACCGTATTTAATTGACAGCAGCAAGAGCCAAAGGCCCCTGCTGCTCTTCGCATCCCTATGTGAACAGGAAGCAAGGGGAGAAGAGATGCAGCCATGCACAGCACTGATCTCTTCTCCCCTCAATTCCCCTTCACACAGGGAGGGAGCACAGGGAAACTAAAAACATTTTTTACCTTAATGCAAGCAATGCCTGTATTTCTCGTCCATCCAGGTCAACTATTAAAAATAAAAAGTTATAAATCCTATACCCACAGTTGATCTAGAGGAAGGCAAAAAAGCCCAGCAATACATGATCCAATTTGCTCCTGCAGGGGAAAAAATTCCTTCCTGATCCCCCGAGAGGCAATCAGATATTCCCTGGATCAACTTTACCTATAAATGTTATATCCAGTTATATTCTGTGTATCTAAGAAAGAATCCAGGACTTTTTTAAAGCAATCCACTGAGATGGCCACAACCAACTCTTGAGGGAGTCTATTCCATATTTTCACAGCTCTCACTGTGAAGAAACCTTTCCATGTTTGGAAATTAAATTTATTTTCCTCTAGACATAAAGAGTGCCCCCTTGTCCTCTGTGATGACCTCAGGGGGAATAACTCTACACCGAGTTCACTATATGAACCACTGATGTATTTATACATGGAGATCATATCCCCCCTTATGTATTATACATGGAGATCATATCCCCCTTATGTATTATACATGGAGATCATATCCCCCCCTTATGTATTATACATGGAGATCATATCCCCCCTTATGTATTATACATGGTGATCATATCCCCCCCCCCCTTATGTATTATACATGGAGATCATATCCCCCTTATGTATTATACATGGTGATCATATCCCCCCTTATGTATTATATATGGTGATCATATCCCCCTTATGTATTATACATGGTGATCATATCCCCCTTATGTATTATACATGGTGATCATATCCCCCTTATGTATTATACATGGAGATCATATCCCCCTTATGTATTATACATGGTGATCATATCCCCCTTATGTATTATACATGGTGATCATATCCCCCTTATGTATTATACATGGTGATCATATCCCCCTTATGTATTATACATGGAGATCATATCCCCCCTTATGTATTATACATGGAGATCATATCCCCCCCTTATGTATTATACATGGAGATCATATCCCCCCTTATGTATTATACAGGGAGATCATATCCCCCCTTATGTATTATACATGGAGATCATATCCCCCCGTATGTATTATACATGGAGATCATATCCCCCCTTATATATTATACATGGAGATCATATCCCCCCTTATATATTATACAGGGAGATCATATCCCCCCTTATGTATTATACATGGAGATCATATCCCCCCTTATGTATTATACATGGAGATCATATCCCCCTTATGTATTATACATGGAGATCACATCCCCCCCCCTTATGTATTATACATGGAGATCACATCCCCCCTTATGTATTATACATGGTGATCATATCCCCCCTTATGTATTATACATGGAGATCATATTCCCCTTATGTATTATACATGGCGATCATATCCCCCCTTATGTATTATACATGGCGATCATATCCCCCCCTTATGTATTATACATGGAGATCATATCCCCCCTTATATATTATACATGCAGATCATATCCCCCCTTATGTATTATACATGGAGATCATATCCCCCCTTATGTATAATACATGGAGATCATATCCACCTTATGTATTATACATGGTGATCATATCCCCCCTTATGTATAATACATGGAGATAATATCC